TTCGCGACGGTGCGGCGCGTCCTGCCGCCGGGCGGCGACGCCGGCGGCGACGCGAAGGAGGAGGGCGCCGCGGGCGGCGACGCGGGCGACGCCGCGGCGGCGCCGTCCGGCCCGCGGCTCGAGATCCGCTACGACGACTACGACGACGAGGACCCCGTGGGCCGCGACGTCGTGCCCTTCCCCTGCCCGAACGACGAGGTCGTCGCGTGCGGCCCCGCGCCGCGCCGTTTACTGGAGGCGGACGACGAGCGGCACAGGGGCCGCGTCTTCGCCTGGAAGCGGGGCGCGCCGCGCGAGAAGCGCGAGCCGGGCCGCTGGCGCGTCGCCGACGTCTTCGACTCCGTCGAGGAGGGGAGCGACGGTTTGGTCGCGACGTTCTCGCGCGCGGCCGACGGCGAGTCCGCGACGGCGCCGCGCCGTGTGGAAATCAAATCTTCAACCCGACTTCAATGTGGGCGTATGCGACCGTTTCGACGCAAGCTTTTTGGCCGTGCTTCGAGAACTCGACGAGAGCGATCGATTCGTCCAAAAATCAGCCGAATCGGCTTCGAATTGGCCGAGCTAGAGAGTTCTGAAGTTTGGTTGGGATAACCCAGCTCACTGTTTGATTTCCACGCAGGCGCCGCGGCGCGCGGAGGCCCTCGGCGAGCTGCTGCGCTACGCGCGCTGGGACGACGAGAAGGCCGAGTTCGCCGGCGCGAAGCGGCCGGGCCCGAAGAAGTCGCCGCCGCCGGCGAAGAAGCGCGCGAAGCCCACGGAGAAGCCGCCCGCGAAGGAGTTCGACCGCGCCGCGGACCGCGAGGTCGCCGCGCGCATGGCGCCGGGGGCGGACGCGCCGAGCCCCCGGAGCCCCGGGCTGGCCGCGGGGGCGTCGCCGCGGCCGCCGTCGTCGTTGGGCCGCGGCGAGTCCGCGAGCCCCGACGGCCGGTCCGAAAGAACCCCTACCAAGGGGCCCTGGGCGCCCGAGGAGGACGCGCTCGTCGTCGAGCTCGTGGAGCGCCACGGGCCCAAGAAGTGGTCCACGATCGCCGCGCACCTGCCCGGGCGCGTGTCGAAGCAGTGCCGCGAGCGCTGGCACAACGTCCTCGACCCGGAGATCTCGAAGCAGCCGTGTCCGCCGCGT